ACTACGTGAGTGTTTGTGAATTTGGTACCTATTTATTGATGAGAGAGAGAGAGAGAGAGCCCAAGCCAGTTTTGTAAGAGTATCCAATAATCAGAGAACTCCTAAGCCTCTCCCAGTCTCACCCCAATTCTTTGCATCTGGGCTGGGCTCTAATCTGATGAAGGTAGGATTAGATGGCATGAGGGTATTACGGACAGATAAATCAGGATGCAAAGATCTTTTCATCTGCTGTGAAGAAGGCAACTGGACGGCTTCTTGGAGCAACATTCAGCTCAACTTCTGATAAGGGTAAGCATGGTATACAATCAGAGGGCTTTGGGGGTGGAGTGGGGGTTGATACGGCTCTAAAACAAAGAATGGAAGAAGAGAACACCCTGAACTGTGGGCCTGTATTGGTGCTGGGAATGAAAACATTACCGAAACACACCCAAACTTCCTTGTAATGCCATATGATAAGCTAATAAACGAAACTTGAGTATTACAAGGTCCTTGCAAACCTTGATTACAAAATTTATTTGAGTGTGTGTGTGTGGCTCCGTAGAAAACAGTTTTCTGGAAAAGGAGTGATCTGAGCACTAAATGACCACAGAGCAAACAGGTCTTGACTCCCAGGATGTGCTTGAAAACTTGGCTCAGGCACCCAGAGGCTGGAGAGAGCGAGCCAGAGCCATCGTGGGAATGACTGACCACAGTGCAGTGCGGGTGGCTTACCCTGCTCCTTCTGAGGTCAAGTGTTTGTGTGTTCCAATGCGAAGCAAGTTCTTGCTGGATTTTTGTTTTTGTTTTTTCATTGCTTCGGTTGGGTTTTCCTTGGTAATCCAAACTGTTTGATTCTCTCTGCTTCAGTGGGACCCTGGGTGACATTTATGGGCCCAACTCCCCTGGAGGAAACCATACTCCTATTCCTACAGCTTCTCCCCCCCCCCCCCCAATCCCCTTACTCCATCAACAATAAAATTGCCTATCTGTCGATACCTTTGTTGAGGAAACTGGAAGTCTGGGTTGATAATAGCCACATCAGAAAGGTTGGCCCAAGAAGCTTCTAAAACTGTTTTTCCTCAGCTGGAATTTACAGAGGAACATCCTCTGTAGCTTCCTGCAGCTTTCTACTACCTTGGTCTAATCCCAGCTGCTTTCCTACAAAATTTTGCCTTGAAATATTACATGATTGCATTCATTTATTTTTGCAGAAGAGTAGTTTTTAAGCTTCAAAAGGGGGAGGGCTAACATTGCTTAAAAAAACAGGAATATATTCTGCTTCACAAAGGAATGGATTATTTGATATTTTTAGAGGCAAAAATATGAAATGTCCTTTCATTGTCAAAATCAAGTCTGATATGAAATTCAGGATTATTTAGCTCCAGGGATGCCCTTGGAATTCATAGCAAAACATGGTGGGGATAAGTTTAGCCTTTAGTGATACCTGTGACAGACAGGAGTGACTTTCCATGTAGGAAATGGTTATATGTGTTCTGTTCCTCCCAAAGGTTCCACAGGGAGAGCTGGAGTGCAGATATCTGACAGAAACAGTCTAGGGGTTGTGATTGTCCTCAGTACTTAAAAGGAATATTATACATGAGGCACACACAATAAACATAATGGTAATTATGATCCATAGTGCAAAGCCTTAGGGCCATGAAGATCCAGGGATTAACCAGGTTACTGTGATGTAACTTTTTGTGAGAATCTATATACATTATAAAAGCCTAACTGACCATTATGACCAGACAACCAGAATGGCCAGAACAACTGGTCAACCAGTTGCTATGACATGCACTGACCTCCAGGGATCAGATGCTCAATGCAGGAGCTTCCCCCTACTGTCAGTGCTCTTGCTCCCATAGCCAACCTCCCGTGGTCCTTTCCCTAACCCAGTCCCTTCTCCTGGCTGGCTGGCCCTAATCCGCCCTGATCTAGGCCAGCCAACCTCCCATGGTACCTCCTCCTGTTCTCTCCCCACCCCCCAGCTCCCGCAGCAAGCCCTGATTGGCCTGGTCACAATTGGCCCAGCCCTGATTAGAATTAGGTGAGACAGCCCAATATGCCCTGATCACTGGCTGGACCTTGGGACCTCACCCATGCACAAATTTATGCACGGGGCCTCTAATTCTTTATGTAATGCATCTTACTTTGAGTTAGACATGAACTCTGTCCAAGCTTAGAGTCACAACTTCAAAATTATATAAATATGCAAAAGAAACTTTGTAGAAAAAATAAGTGTAATCAGGGGAAGGTAGAAGTCAAGTATGGTTTTAAAATTCTTTGACATTAACATTAGGGGTGGAGAGGTCAAAAATATCTAAGGAGGGCAGCATTCCTTCTAAGACAGAAACCAGGAATAAGTTAACAGTTGGGGCATTTGAGGGACACCAAGGATCGCTCAGTAAGAGCAGACGACAATCGCCTCTCAGTTTGCATGACCAGGGCTCTTCAGCAGGTGGCCCCAGAAAAGGTGAACCTGTGTCACAACCATAGATTTATTTGCACAGCTTCCTTGACTCCCAGAAGGTCTGGTATCTAGTTACTCTTTTTTAGGTACTTTTCACCAAATACTCCATTTACATTCTCTATTTAATTTTTCCCATGAACCAAAAAAGAAGGTATTTAATTCATGTTACAGATAGACTAAAGCTCAGAGAAGTTATGTAACTTATTCAAGGTGACTTAGCCAGTTTTGTAGAGCAGGAATTTGAAACTATGTTTATTTAATTCCAAAGCACCTACTGTTTGCACTGTATTGCCCACAAAAAGTAATTTGACTAATTTGGTTTATCTTAAGCCCTCACATTACAGGCTCTAGATCTAACATAGGAGGATCCTAGTTAGCATTGTCAGATGAAATAGAAAATTCCCAGTTAATTTTGAATTTCAGATAAACAACAAAATTTTAAGAATATCCTAAATACTTAACGGTACATAGTTATACCCAAAATTATTTGTTGTTTATCTGAAATTTAAATTTAACTGAGTGCCCTATATTTTCACTTGTTAAATCTGACAATCCTAATTTTAGTAGGTTCTCCAAATGAGAGAAAGGAAAGTTTGTAGTTTCTGACTACTGTGAAAGAATTGGGAAGTCATAAAAGCCTGATCTTCAAGAAATTCTCTAGTTTATCTCTGTGGTTTTGGCAGAACTGGGATGTGCCAGCTACTGATGGCACACTCTGATGTCCACCGGTGAGTCCCATGGCCCGTACCACACTTCAGAGAGGCACAAACATTGCCTGTTTACTGGGGGCAGGAGAGCGACCACAGCACAAGAATTGGATTCAGTGAACAGAGGAGCTGGCAGGACACTTCCAAAGCCACTGGGGGCTTTGAAAAGTGAAGACCTGCTGATGCCTTCTTTATGGTTTGATGGAGAAGGTCAGAGGGTCAGATTTTCATGTTCAGGGTATTAGTCCAATTTTTTCATTTGTTTATTTACCCATTTGACAAGTATACATGGCATGCCTAGAAAAGGCCAGGTACTTTTGTTGGTTCTGGGACCACAGAAATCATCAAAAACTGGAAAAGCAGCCCATATTCCAATGGGAGGTTAAGGCAAAATCCTTGGCATGAGTAGATCATCCAGAGGTCTGGCCAGGTTCACTATCCCTAGTTCCAGCTCACAAATTAGTCAATGTGTTTCTTTGAACAAGTTGAAAATTGGCAGGACAGGATGAAAATAGTGAGTTGGGGAAAAAAACAAGGGAAAAATATCTTGGAGGTAAAGATAATAATTTAACCTGATTTTGAAAGTAATAAAAAAAAATTGAACAACATAATATTTGAGGGATGTGTGGTAGAAAGAGGTATAAAAGGCTAGCACAAGCCAAAGATTGTCCAAGAGATTTGAAGCTAAGGATATTAGCATTTATCTACAATGGGTGAAACAAAGAATTCAGTGAAAACAAAGTTTCCAGGTAGTGAATAATGAAAGGGGTTGGCTCAAGGTGAGGGATTAAGGCTATATGGGAGCTCTTTGGAGCGTTTCAGAATCTTCTTTCCTAAGGTAAATATTATCAACTTTTTTGATGGAAAAGAAGAAAGAAAAAATTCTTTGGCTTAGCACATTTGTTTTTTAAATATACATTTGCTAATCATGTTCTTTGATTTGTACTTGAAGAGTGGCAATGCACATTTCTACGGCTAAAATGAAAGTCTGGGAAAACTATATTAGATAGGCCCATGATTTGGATAGGAGAAAATGTCAAAAATTTCTGAGAAATGTGTAACTGAAGAACCTCATGTTTGGATATGAAGTTAAATCACAAACTTACTACTTAATCATCCTGCATTGATTTTCCTTTGTGTGTGTGTGTGTGTGTGTGTGTGTGTGTGTGTGTTTGTGTTGGGATGTATTGCATACTTTCATGCGTGTTAGTATACCTGATTCAGAGCTACCCCTGTCCAGACAATCTAGATTTCCACAATCATCACTACCTCCCCTCTCTGAACTAGAAGTCTCTGGATCATGTGAGGATTAAATAAAATGAAGACTATAAAGAGCAAAGGTCATAACAATGGGTCAGCAAACATTTAGTGTCTGATTATTTTGCAGCTGGGTGGAAAATATGTATAGCTTAAAGAATATGTTAGGGCTGTAAAGACTGTAGATATCATTTAGTCCATTCTCCTCCCTTTACATATAATGAGATTGGTGATCACAAGGGGGAAGTAGGCCATTCTAATAAATCACATAGAAAGCTAGTAGCAGATTTACTAGAACAACATATCTACTTGAAATCTATTGATTGTCCATTTGTATAGTATTCTACTATATCTAGTGTTTCTGACAATTTATACTGTGACTTATTTAAAATCTTTTTAAAATATGATAACTTCTCCCCTATTGTGTCAACACAAAACACTTAAGCTTCTTTATCACGGTGTTTTTACTTTTCCAGTTTTCAGCAAAGGTCTGCTAAGCAATTGTTCTCATACCTTGAAGGGTCTTTTCTTCTCTCACTGTTTAAGGGGCCTGAAGGAGAACCATCAGCCACCCAAGGACCATCAGAATGAGTGACAATACTACTTTGGTTCCTCCAAGTTCAAACCAGGGTCCCACCACCCCACGCAAAGGGCCCCCCAAGTTCAAGCAGAGGCAGACTCGCCAATTCAAGAGCAAGCCTCCTAAGAAAGGTGTGAAAGGGTAAGAACAGGATGAAAAAGAAGACTTTCTATTATTTCTTTTCTCCCATAAGATTGCTTTGTTGTTGTTGTTTTAAATTAAATTTACTGGGGTGACTGGATAATAGGATCATTTAGATTTCAAGTGTACATTTCTAGGATACAAGATCTGTATATTGCACTTGTGTGCTCACCACCTAAGTCAAATCTTCTTCTGTCACCCTATATTAGGCCCTCTTGTCCTCCCATCCTTCCATCCCTTCCCTCGGCAACCACCACACTGCTGTCTGTGTCCACGAGTTTCAGTTTTATGAGTGAAATCATATGGTTCTTAGCTTTTTCTGCCAGATATTATTTCACTTTGCATAATATCCTCAAGGTCTATGCATGTTGTCTCAAATGGCATGATTTCATCTTTCCTTATGGCTGAGTAGTGGTCCATGGTGTATTAGTGTATGTGCCACATCTACTTTTGAGACTTAATGCTCACCATATTAAGCAAACTTACAAAAATTTCCACCCTTTTATTTTTCTCTCTGCCACAATCTTTGCTGAGTCATGCTTTTAGCCCTGGAATACTTTGTCTCTCAGCTCTCAGGTCTAAGGCCAAATATAACACAGCAAATGGAGCCTTTCACAATGACCTTTGACTTGACCTCCCAGGTTTTTCTTCTTGACCACTCCCTTTCACCATTATACCCCGTCAGGGTTACAGAATTACTGGTCATTTCCAGAAATCACACTTTATTTTTATGGCTTCAATCTTATGTCTTAAGTTCTTTGTTTTTCTCTTTCTCTCCTTGGCAATGTCTTATTTTTCAACACACACTCATAAGTTAATTTCTTTTTGAAGCTGGTACTGACTCTCTTAGACAAATGTTATCATTAATTCCTTGTTTGCCTTTTGTACATTTAGCTATCATAACGTTTACTATTTTGATTTCATTTGTTTCTTGAGACAGCTCACTCAGAGAAAAATATTTCTTTTTTCCCTTTCCTCCCTGAGCCTAACACAGTGTCTGGCACATAGAAGATGCCTAATACAATATTTTTTGGGTAACTAAACAAATGAATGAATTAATCCATTTAATTCCTTTCATATTGCTTTTCCATTTCAATTTCTATTTTTAAAAGTGAGGTTTGTCTAAAATTGCCCCACTGATCACTCTTTCTGGCCCTTGATTGTTTTAGGTTAATTTTTTACCTGGGGGAAATTATCTCTCTATGGGACAAACTGTTTAAAACCTCTTATTTTCTTTATCTTAATTCAATACAAACATAAGAAGTTTTTCAAATATAAAAGCTTAAGCCTCTTCTTCCCCCTGAGTCAGAAAACTTTCCACATGAGTCATTCCAGGATCCTTTTGCTCTGATCTTAGCTAATTTTTATTTTTTTTCCGTAGGTTTGGAGATGACATTCCAGGCATGGAAGGGCTGGGAACAGGTGAGCCACCCAGAGACTAAAGTGAGGACATCACACTTGAAGTTTCATCTTCTTATCTACTTCAGGCCTTAAGGGGCCGTTGAAAGTGTTCAGAAAAACCTAACTCAGCAGATCCTTTGAAGACTGAAAAATGTGGGGTTTTGTTTTGATCTCCTAAGTACTAGTAAGAATGTGTGTGCCAAGAGGCACACACTCTGAAAGAAATCAGGGTAGGCCCCATGTTTGTTTAATGAATTCTCTTGTCTTGTTCAACAACCACTGACAGATGATAATGGTGAACTGCAGGCTTGGTACAAAGATTCGCAGGTAGACTAGACCAACTTCTTTATTTTTTTGGAAGAGATATCTGAGACACAGCAGAATTAAGTGACAAGCAGAGGCCACAAGTGAGGTATTGGAACCAAGGGTGGGGCTCCAAGAGCATTTCTACTCTAGCAGGCCAACCACTGCTTCCTCTTTCACACATTCTCTGGCACCGAGAACAGGGCCCCACACACTGAAAGTATCTAATATCTATATTTTTTTCATTGCCTAGCATTTTTATTCATTGGATAATGAATGCAAATTACTGCCTATTCTTTAAAAAAAATTAACAGGCTTTACTTTTTAGAGCAGTTTGAGGTTTACAAAAAATGTAAGTAGAAAGTACAGAGTTCCTATATACCCCCTCGGTTCCCCTCCTTCCCCTGTACATAGTTTTCCTTATTATTATTAACTTGCATTTTCACAATGGATGAATCAATAGTGGCACATTATTATTAACTAAAGTCCATAGCTTACATTAGGTTCATTCTCTTTGTTGCTGTCCAGTTCTGTAGGCTTTGAAAAATGCACAGTGTCATATATCCAACATGACAGGCTCATACAGAAGTTTCACTGTCCCCCAAATTCCCTGTGCTTTGTTTATCCCCACCCCCTATATACTCCTAACAACCATAATCTTTTTACTGTATTCATAGTTTTGCCTTTTCCAGATTGTCATATAGATAGAGACATACAGTATGTAGCTTTTGCTGACTTCTTGCAGTTAGAAGTATTTTTTTCATTTAAGGTTCCTCCATGTTTTTAAATGGCTGATAGCACATTTCTTTTTATCACTGAATAATATTTCACTGCTTAGTTGTATCACAGTTTATTTATCCTATTGAAAGACATCCTGGTTGCTTCTAAGATTTGACAATTATAAATAAAGCAGTTATAAACATAGTTGTGCAGGTATTTGTGTAGATATGAGTTTTCAACTCATCCAATACACTTTTGTTTAATCCTTACTGGAGGACATGTTTTTTTATTTATTTTTATTTATTTTTTATTTATTTGCTAGACAATGAGAGAGAGAGAGAGAGAGAGAGAGAGAGAGAGAGAGAGAGAGAGAGAGAGAGAGAGAAAGAAAGAGAGAGGAGAATTAGTGTGAGAGAAAAACATCAATTAGTTGCTGGTTGCCTCCTATACAAGCCTGGATCAGGAATTGAACCCATAACCTGGATATGTGCCTGACTGGGAATGGAACCTGCAACCTTTTGGCACACAGGATGATGCTCCAACCCATTGAGCTACACTAACCTGGTTTCATCCAATACACTATAAAATATTAGAGGCTTGGTGCACAAAATTCAGCCTGAACCCTCTGCAATCTGGGACATCCCTCTCACAATCCAGCAGGGTAGGGCAGTTGGTGGGGAACAGACCTGCAGGGAATGACTGTTAGGGGTTATCAGGTTGGCAGAGGAGTGGTTAGGGGGTGATCAGGCAGACAGGCAATCAGTTGGAACCTTCTTACATAATAAAGAGGTAATATGCAAATTTACCATCACTCCAGCACACAAGATGGCCACCCCCATGTGATTAAAGATGGCCACCCCTATGTGGACACAAGATGGCAGCCAAAAGATTTCATGTAGAAGAGAGCAGTTGGGAGGGACCAGACCTTGCAGGGGAGGGCAGTTAGGGACAACCAGCTGGCAAGGGAGGGCAGTTAGAGTGACTGGGCCAGCAGGGGAGGGAAGTTGGGGGCAACCAGGCCTGCAGGGGAGGACAGTTTGGGGCAACCAGGTCGGCATGGGAGCAGTTTGGCATTGATCAGACTGCCAGCGTAGTAGGGGGTGATCAGGCTGGTAGGCAAAAGTGGTTAGGGGCAATCAGGCAGGCAAGCAGATGAGTAGTTGGAAGTTAGTAGTCCTGGATTGTGAGAGAGATGTCTGACTGCCCATTTAGGCCAGATCCTGGTGGGTCCCAGATTGGAGAGGGTACAGGCTGGGCTGAGGGACGCACACCCTTCCCCACCTTGCATTGATTTTCAGAGAGGAAGGGGATGGAGAGAGAGAGAGAAACATCAATGATGAAACATTAATTGGCTGCTTTTTGCATGCCCCCTACTGGGGATGGAGCCTACAAGGGCATGTGCCCTTGACTAGAAGCAAACCTGGGACTCTTCAGTCTGTAGGCTGATGCTCTATCCACTGAACCAAGCCAGCCAGATCTCCAATACACTTTGATAAGTGCTGGCATTCATAGCAATGAATGTCTTTACCAGGAAATTCTCAGTGTATTTGCTTTTTTCAATCAAATGTCACTTCTGGAATCGCAAATTTTATAGCCACTTTATAGAGCTCATGATTTTTTTTAAATCAACTGCTTCTATATTTTTGACCAGATATATTTAAGACTAGTAAATCCACTCAGAAAGATATGTTTAACTCTGCTAACATATTTGGAATAATAGAGAGAGGTTTACTCTAGAAGGTTTGAGGGCTTTGATCTGGTTCTAGTCCCATTTCTATAACTGCAATTTTTGCTAAATGATTAGTCTTTCTGGATATCCACCAGCTTCTCTGTGACCTGGGGACAATAATAACTTATTTCTGGATTCAAGGAACTGGATTAGAAGATCCCTTGAAATCACTTCTCAACATGAGTTGGATGTAGGCATTTCAAAATGTAAAGGAGCTGAGGAACAAGTCAGAGAAGCCTAAGAAACCCACCTAGATTGGTAGGGAGTAAGGAGGCTGTGGGTTTCCAGACCATGGGGGTTTAAAGTGCTCCTATTTCTCATTTTAATCCTTAACCTGACTAGAAAGCTACTTCTGGTCCTTCCTTAGTGGTTGTGCCTTGGGGAGGTCCTGGGTGATCATTGAGATGTACCCCTACAGGGTAGCTCCAGTAAAAAACCTTGGGTCACCTGCCCAAAAGAAGATGCAGAATAGAGCCAATGAAGATATCTGGAGGAGTGTGTTCTGGGGCCATTGGAGCCCTCAAAGGATTAATTAAGCATTTGGTCTGATCCTCTGGGTCTCAGGGCCATTTTAGATAACTTCCCAGTCACCTGGACAATGATTAGGAGAGAGGAGGATGCATCTTCTGTCTGAAGGATGTTTTTTTGAGCCCAAAAGGCTCTCCTGGGAGTGAGGCTAACTTATAACTTCTTCTTTCCTTTCTTGCAGATATCACAGTGATTTGCCCTTGGGAGGCATTCAGCCACCTGGAGTTGCATGAGCTCGCTCAGTTTGGGATCATCTGAGGCACTCTCTACGGCATCTTCTATAACTTTGATTTCTTTTTCCCTATTGAGTTTTAAAATGTGGTCTTGTTCAGAAGTGGTTTCTTTCTCCTACACAGTCATTTTCTAAAGTTGCTACTAAGGGTTCTAGTGTCAGACTCTCTCACAGAGTACAGATTAGCTCAGAATAGTGAGTAAACATCAACTTTTGTTAAGGCATTTCAAACCTGACCACCTTTTTCTATCAGCTGGTTAGAAGTCCTAAATACTTCTCTAAATTTTGTTTGTTTGTTATGTCCTTCAAATCTATTTTTGCTAGACATTCTTTATGATTAGTAAGTAGTAGGCTTCTAAAATAACATTTATGTCACTCACCTCCCCTTCTCATTTAATAAAGAAGATGTTTACTTTGACTCTTGTGATGAAGTTTATTAAATTCTATAACGAAATATCTGGTGCCCTGTCCTAAAGAAAATTAAACACAGAAGGCACAGTCATACAGGAAATAACCACAGTGCATGAAAAAGACAATAGGATTAAGAGTCAAATTCTGATTCTTCTTTGTGAGTTTGTAAAGCACATACTTTCTGGGTCTAACTGTCTTTGAAGTAGGCTGTCCCTAAAGTCCTCTGCAGTTTTATTATATATAGCTCTGAGTTGGTGGAAGACTGGAGATTTAAAGTCAGGACTAACTATGGGAGCCTTATTTTCAGTGCCTTGATTCAGTTGGTTGAAAATATTTACGTTAATGTAAGAAACATCTGAACCTGTAAAGAATTTTTGTGAGTTAATTTGACCCAAGCTATCGACAATTATGGAGAAGCAGATTCTCAATGTATTGAGACAATGCTCCAGAGCAGTGTTTTCCAAACTTCTCTCATGATGAGAATCACCTGGTGGAGTTGTTAAAATACAGAGTCCTGAATCCCAATTAAGATGTGCTAAACTAGAATTTTGGGGAACATATAGGTAAAATTGTATACTTAACTAGTGCTCTAAGACAGAACACTAATTGTATACTTAACTTAGTGCTCTAAGAGCACTAAGTTAAGTATACAATTTTACCTATATGTTCCCCAAAATTCTAGTTTAGTACTTTTTAGTTGGGATTCAGGAATCTGTATTTTAACAACTCCACCAGCTGATTCTCATCATGAGAGAAGTTTGGGAAATACTGCTCCAGAGAATGGCAGTTTTTCACCTAATTTTATAAATTATCATCAAAGGAGGAGATGTAAGTGGGTTAAATGAAATCCATTGGTGATAAATGAGGGAAGTAGGAGAAAGCAAAGCAGGGAAACCTCTAGAATTGGGTGAAAACCAAATGATAAACACATGCTTCTTTTACATAAGTGGGTACAGGATAATCAACAAGTCAACAATTAACACAACAATAACAATGAGGGAATTTGTGGTCTCTGCCCTGTTGTCCTGACCATTGGTTGTGTCCTGAGGGATCCGGAAAAAGGGAAGTTACAAGTTACTCTGACATTCCAAAGGTATGTTGTCATAAATGCAAAAAGACAATAGATTCAGTTAAGATCAAAGTTGATCTTTGTCAGAGAATATACTGGCCTAGGACATGACTACCCACCATAGACTGCTTTTTAATTAAAATTGTTTTCATTTCAGACCATCTTTTGTGGCTCCCATGTAAGTCTTCCAAAAGTTAGTCAGGCCCCTTTTTGTCCATTCTTTAAAGTTTAGACTAAGATGCAAAGGCTAGGTAGTTGAGCTCTCAAAATAAAATGACAGTTTGCTTCACCCCTGAAGTTGTGTCAAATATAATGTGCTCATAGCTGTCTTTCCCCAATACTTCCAAGGCAATTGTGCAATTCAAATGCCACCTCCATCAGACTTGGATGCTTGTATTAATTTCTTCATTTCGGTTTTGCAATCTGGTAAAAGAATTGGGTAAATTAACTGAAAAGAGAAATAGGATGAGACAGAGGAAAGAGAGTTGGGTTCTAATCATGGCTCTCCCAGTAAATTTCTCTGTAATTCTGGACAAAGATTCCACCTTTTGGATCTTCCAATTTGCCTGAATTTGATAACCTAAGGTTCATGGCAGCAATACATTCTGTGACTTTGAGGTCCTCAGAGTCTGAACAACTATTACATGAAAAACTATTGAAGGAACTAATGATATTTTACATAGAGGAGAAAATGATAATTCCCAATAAATATTTGAAAATTTATAATGAACGGGAAGAAGCAGATCTATTTCATATTGGATTCTAGCATTTAGTGGTAAGTTCAAATATATATGTTAAAGCTCATTTTAATTCTAGAATTATTTTATTTCTCCTCCTAAATTCTATCATTTCTCATATTTATCTATTTACTAGAGGCCCAGTGCATGAAATTCATGCTCAGGGGATGTGTGTCCTTCAGCTCAGCCTGTACCCTCTCCAATCTAGGGCCTCTCAAAGGATGTCCGACTCGGACATCCCTCTCACAATCCATATTTGACATATATTTGACACAACTTCAGGGGTGAAGCAAACTGTCATTTTATTTTGAGAGCTCAACTACCCAGGATTGTTGGCTCCCAACCACTTGCCTGCCTGCCTGCCTGCCTGCCTGCCTGCCTGATTGCCCCTAACCGCTCTTGCCTGCCAGCCTGATCACCCCCTAACCACTCTACTGCCAGCCTGATTGATGCCTAACTGCTCCCTTGCCAGCCCGATTGCCCCCAACTGCCTTCCCCTGCAGTCCTGCCCCCTCCTCAACTGCCCTCCCCTGCTGACCATCTTGTGACACAAGATGTCCACATGGGGACAGCCATCTTTGACCACATTGGGGAGGATATCTTGTGTGTTCCTCATTCCAACATCTTGTTGGAATGATGGTTAATTTGCATGTTACTCTTTTAGTAGATAGGATTTCAGAGAGAGGAGGGCAGAGAAAGAGAGATAGAAACACCAATGATGAGAGAATTATTGATCAGCTGCCTCCTGCATGCCCCCTACTGGGAATAGAGCTCCCTGATCTAGAATCAAACATCAACTCCTGATTCATGGGTCGATGCTCAACCACTGAACCATGCCAACCCGATGATGATCTTATTTGCAATAAAGAACAAGAAAACCTTTATTCTATAAATAGCACATATGAAAAAGATAAAGGTAAATCATTGACTGTAACCAAGTCCTGGCAGCAGAGATGCATACTTAAAGTAATTGAGGAAGTTTTTACAAAAAAAACAAAGGGACTATTTACAAAGGCTTGGGAAAGGTTAAGTATCTGAAAGACACTTTAGTAACAATATTACCAAACCTCGACCCGAAGAGACCCCCAAAGGTCTACTTTAACTATAAGAAGACCCCCTGAGATGGCTATAGCTTCCAATAGAGAGACACAGCTAAGTTATAGTGATCCCATGGGTAATTAGGGAGGAGTAGAGAGATCAGGATAAAAATACTCCTAATATTGTTGTTCTCCCATTCTCTCCTCTTCTCTTGAATCCTCCCATTGGATAAACCCAATTGAAAGTCAGAAGGCAAAGGAGCCCATTGAAGTGCTCAGTCAAGTTTAGCTCCAACAGCAGAGATCAGGTGGATAACAGTGAAGAGTGGATATGAAGGGGCAAATGGGAAACCCCCTGCTTAGCAATAGTATTGACAAACAGATGGTATTCATCAGCTAGTGATATTTAGTTAGAGATGAGCAATAACATGGACATGTGATTCTGATGCAAGTCCCTGAAGTAGAGGAAGGACAATGTTTAATGAGAATAATTGCAGAAGAAGAAAATTATCATAGAATTTAAGGGTTTGGAGGATCTTTTAAAAAATCATCTGACATATTCAAGATAATAAGAACCATTGAGGATCTCTTGTTGAAAATACAAAATTTGAGCTCCACTCAGATTTTACGAATAAGAATCTTAAAGGGAGAAACTTTAGAATCTGTATTTTTTAAAAAGGGCCCTAGGCAATGATCATATTTATATCAGTTTGAAAACACCAATGTGGTCCAAGCCTACATTTTAAACATCAGACTGATGAACCCTCAAATTTAAAAGCAAGATTGTTAAACTGATTGTCTTCATCAGTCATACCATCTTCTTATGACAAAACATTCAGGTGGTCTGGGTTCTGCCTGACTTTGCTACACAGCATCTGCTACACCATAGGCTAATTCCCTTATCATCTTTGAGAATAAAGCAAGGTCCCTTTCAGTTTAAGATTCTAAGAAACAAGTACTACACTTGTATCTGTGTCAAGCATGAACAAACTATTATGTTTATGACCAGAAGTCCCAAGGCACAGAGCCTTAGAATGTGTTTAACTACCATCCACATTTTCCCAGAGCCTCCAAAATCAAGTCATGTACAGTACTGCCACCTGCTGTAATAAATGAGCACTGCGTGAACACTTGGAAGACAGTAATTTCTGTTAGAAGACATAAAATCCTTTGAGCTAATTCTGAAAATGTTTATCCTCACTGACCAGTTTAAATTGGATATACATATTCATCATGTGCATGCTTATCCATGCATAAGATAAACGATAAAGAGTGTAAAACTGAACATAGTGCAAGGTAAGTCTCATTTCCACCCAATGCCATTATGGCCCACTCAATTTGCTATAAGAGTTTGCTGTTAAGAGTTTGCTATGATTACTTCCAGAGACAATCTGGGCATAGAAATATTTCTGTGTATGTAGCATTGTTCTTCTCTGTATTTTTCAGTGTCTGGTATGGAGTCAGGCAGATAGTAAGTACTCAATAGTTATTTGTTTCATGAATGAATAAATCATGAATTAAAAGACTCTGGCCCTAGCATTCCCATTGTAGCCTACAGGTACAGAAATAAACATGCTAAGAGATTTGGTTGACACATTCTCCAGGGATCTCAGAAATAGCTGGTGGGGTAGAGTAGTGGGCAGATGACTGAACTTCCCACATTGGTAGTGGAAACCCAAACCAGAGAAATATGGCTTTCTGATTGTTGTTTTGAAAATACATTGACACTCAGGCTGCTATGACTTGTGGCCCTGCAATTCACATGCTGTTGG